CCCGCGCCCCCTGCGCGGGCAGCCCGCGGGCCCGGAGCCCCGCCGTGACCTTGCGGGCCTGTCCCCGTCCCGGCTCCTTTCCCCTCCTCGAAGATCCTTCCAAGCCGCAGTGTCACTCATTTCCGCGCGGCTCTAAAGTTTGGGGGCCCCTCTTCCTCCGCCGGGTCCCGCTGGACCATCTCGGGGTCTCTAGCCGCCGCCGGGAATGCCCGTCTGGCACCGTGGCCTTGGCCAGTTGGCGCCCCCTTCTCCGAGCCTCAGTTTCCCCTGAGGCGCGATGCTACGCACCTCCCCCGTGGTTGTGGTAAGCCGTTTAGCACGGCACCCAGTGTCTGGCTGTGTCGGGGAGCCGTCAGGAGCCCAGCTCTGGAGGGGGGTCGAGTTGCTGTCTCACTTTTACTCCATGACCTTGGGCAAAGGAGTCCCTCGTTTTGGGCGTCAGTTGCTGTTCTGCAAAAGGACGATTAAGTACAGCGTGGACTGTACGGACAGTGCGCTCGGTGGGAACGAGCTGCGTGCTACTTTGTCACTGAATTTTAAGGGTCTTTGGTGCTCGTAGGGGCAGACCACGACGTGGCTGATGTACACTGTCACAGGCGCATCTTTTATTTCCACATCCTCTCCCTGGGTCCAGCAGCTCAGGGAATGGTGCCCCAACTGCCCTACACATGTGGCCATTAACCTTGACCTGTCCACTCCAGCCCACCGCTACCTCTGCTGCAGCTCCCAGGGGGCAGCTGGCATTCTCCCTGGGGCCAGTTTGGTTCCCCACATCCTAGTCCATTCTGAACACAGCAGTAGCGATCTCTGTCGGTTCTTGTGTCCAGATAGAACCTTCCGGTGGTGGCCGGGGCATTCGGGCGGCCCCGGCGGCTGCCCTGCCCAGGAAGCACGCCTCCCTTTCCAGCTGTAGTATATCGAAGGCTGGCCGCTCTGTGTTTTGTGCTTCCTCAGCATTCCCGGGCATCAGCTTAGCTGCCCACGCTCAGAGCCCTCGGGAATTCGCTCTCCCAGCTGTCAGCCAGCCCTGTACTTCCGGGACTCTGATTCATCGGCCTCCTCACCTGTCAGACATTCGAGGGCCAGGACTTTGAGCTTTCCAGACACTCAGAATGAGGGCATAGAGCGGGGTGAAGGGTCGCGGGCCGGCGTGGAGGGAAGGACTCCGTTGTCCTGGGAAGGCTTCAGGGGCAGTGGTGCACAAGCCGCGTTCCGAAGTAGGAGCAGGGCTTGGCCGGCTTGGAAGGTAGAGGGCGGGCGCTGCGGGTATTGGGAGCGACAGGAGCTGGGCCAAGGTACGAGAGCCGGTGACTTATCTGGGGACCGTCAGCGGTCCACTGTGGCTAGCGTGTAGGGTCATCTGATGCTTGCTCCCCGTGAAATATGCCACCCCAAAGGAAGCCCTTTGAGTGCTCCTGAAGACAGGCTGGGAAGTGGCTCCAGGCGGAGGGTGAGGGACAGGCTGGGCACGTGGCCTCCCGGGCCAGCGGTCAGAGACAGGTGGTGGAAGGCCTTTGGCCTTATCCGGACAGACTGAGGACTTTGAACTTTGCCCTGAGCATGGGAGGCCCAGAGACTGATGGGAGAGAGCGACGAGGCCCTCCCTGGACAAGCTGTGGTCTGGGTGCCCCGCTGTGGCTGTGCTTCTTCATGGTGCATGGGACAGACGAGCGCTCTGCTGAGCAGGGGCTGCTGGCTGCCATTCTGTGGTCTGGCTGCCATTCTGTGGTCTGAGCCCAACTGAATATTTTCGGCTCCCCCGGTAGACCCACCTGAGACGTGTAAAGGCGGGCAGGAACCGAGGCCGTTACTCAGCGGATCTTAACTAACCTTAGGGCCACCCGCCCCTCCTCCACGGGTTCCCCCTCAGCCACCTGTTCCTGTCTCACGAACGGCTCTTTCCAAGCGTCTGGGTCCTTGTTTCTCCCAGACCTCGGCAGTCATCTCGAGAAGCCTGTCCCAGCCTGGGCTCACTAGCCTCTCAAACCCCTGATGTGCCTGCTTTTGTGGCCACCCTGAAACGCAGTGGTCCCAGGAGCTCCTGGACCTGCTCTGTGACTGTGATGTGTCAGAAGGTGGCCTGTCCGCCATAGTCCCGGCTGTCTCTGGTTCTCCAGATGGGGCCGTGCTGGGATGTGGGCACTGGCAGCTCTGGGTCCTTTTGACGAACCTCTGGTCCCTTTAACCCAGAGGGCGAGGAAACCGTGCTACGGGCGCTGGGAGCGCGCAGCTTTGGCTGTGCGGTTGTGGGGAGGGGGCCGAGGCGCGTGCTCGTGAGCGCTGAGCAGCAGCTCTGCCGTCCAGCAGTACACAGAGGACAGTTTTCACCGACAGCTGGCTCTTGTGGAGCCGGGGTCAGCAGACGCTTTCTGAAAGAGCCCAACTGAATATTTTCGGCTCTGCAAGCAGCTGCCCCACTCCGCGGTGGTGGCTAAGCGCGGCCAGAGGCCCTGCGTACAGGCACAGGTGGCAGTGTTCCAATAAAACTTTATTTGCAGACACAGGAGGCGGCCAGATGAGGCCTGAGGGTTGAGGGCTGTACATACCCCGTGGTGGCCTAGGGTGAGGACGTGCCAGGGGCTCTGAGCATGAGATATCCCAATGGAAAAGGCATATACCACACATGGTACTTGGGGGCAGTCTGGTGGGGGGAGCCTAGAAGAGGGACCTCCTAATTCTGTCCCTGGTCAAGGGACAAGGTGACATGTGAGGTGTGTGGAGGGTCTCTGGGATGTGGGGGCAGGATGCCACCCTAGTGAAATGCTCTGAGCCTCCTGGCGGGCCTGGCAGCGCACGCCCGCCCTTCCCCCAGTGAGCACCGGTGACCGTGGCCCCGCACAGCCAGCTTCCTTGGAGCTCAGTGCCTCCTGGGCACTGCTTTGGCAGTCGGTGCCTCACTCAGGGTGACAGACGGAAGTACCAGGGCTGGCGGGCTTGCTGGAACAATGGCAGGCAGGGACTGTGGAGCGTGGGACTTGCACCCGGCACCTGTTGTCAGCCTCCAGGCTGCAAGGTCCGGCCACCCTGGGCTTCTCTCCACGCCGCCACCACTGCCAAGTGCCCAAGGCCAGGTTGACGAGCTCCCCAAGGTCCCGCCTTCTGAGAGCCAGTCTGCCCCAGGCCCGGTGTCTGGGCCCTCGGTACGTCAGGACCCCTTGCCCACCCCCACCTCGGCAAAGCTGCATCTACGGTGCAAATGTGGGTCCTGAGGTGCCACTGGTGTCTGTTCCTATCACGTGTCTATTGTCAGGAGCATCTGCCACCTGCGTGTCCCTGTGGCAGACTCTCTAGGGAAACCATGGGGTGCGTTCTCTGGCTCTGAGGCATTTGCAGCCCAAGGGGAGCGAGAGCTACAGGACGGGCCCCACCAGCTCCAAGAAGCCCAGGCGTCAGGAGGGCCCAGGGCCTGTGGGCATGCCGTGGCGGGACGCACTGGCTGCCGTCCCACCAGGGTCTCCCTGGGGAGACTTGTCCTGTGCCCGCCGTCTTCCTGGTTTACCCCACGTGAGATGCCTACAGCTGTGCCCCATCTGTCTCGTTGGAGGGAGGCGTCCAGCCTGACCCTCACTGGGTGTCCCTGTTTGGCTTGGACCCTGCTCCTTCCGGGTGGCCCGGCCTCCACCCCGAGCACTCTGACCCCTGCACCATTGCTCCAGGTGGCCTGTGAGTATGGCATGGTGCGCGTGGTCTCTGAAACGGGGGGCCCCAGAGGCAAGGACTACTGCATCCTCTACAACCCGCAGTGGGCGCACCTGCCACACGACCTCAGCAAGGCGGTGAGTGCGGGCCAGCCCTGCCGGCCGGGGTCCTTGTCTGTCTTGTTGCTATCCTGCCACACCTCCCAGTGTCTGCAGAGAGCCGGTTGGGGGCAGAGGAGGGACCTCAGCTGGGGCACTGGGGTGGGATTGAGAGTCCACTAGGGCTGTTGACGCTTGGGTGTCCCAGGGGGCCACAGTGCGTCTCCATCTCCTTGTCACGAGCAAAGGATGTATTGTCATCAAGGGCCAGGCCTTGGTGGGGACACTGCAGGAGCGAAGGCCCACCCCTCCTCCTGGGAGTCGCTCCCTAGTCCGGCCTGGCCCCCACCCGGAGGCTGGGGCTCTCAGGGGTCCTCACTGCCACTCCTGTCCCTCGTGTCTGTCCCCTATGGACACAAGCAGGTCTGGAGATGCAGGGAGGGTTCCTGAGGGGTTTGCTGAGCACCGGCGCCCTGCGCCTCCTGCCTGCCCTCCACTCCTCCTCCTTTGCGTGGGCGTGGAGCTGAAAGCGGCAGGGATGGCGTGCACTGGTGATCTGGACACTGAGGTCCCCTCGCTCCCTCCCATGAGGACGTGGTCCTGCCTGGACTTTAGAGCCGCCCATGTGAGCGCTGCCTCCCTCAGTCTCTCCTGCAGCTGCGGGACTGGACGAGCTCCATGCTCTGCTCGCCGTCCGACCTCCCCGCCAAAGGCTTCAGCAACCAGATCCCGCTGGTGGCGCGGGGGAACTGCACCTTCTACGAGAAAGTGAGGCTGGCCCAGGGCGGCGGGGCGCGTGGGCTGCTCATCGTCAGCAAGGAGACTCTGGTACGGCCGCCTGGGCGCCCGTCTGGGCAGCCAGGGACCCGGGTGACAGTGGCCTGCAGGGCAGCAAGACCCACCAGGGCAAGGGTCAGAGGCGGGGAGGAGCCCGTGGGCACAGCACTGGCCGGGATCGGGGTGGCCACGGCCAGGGGAGGCCAGTTTGATCAGCTGATCCTGGCCTTGGAGGGGGCTTATCCCAGAGCAACCCTGGGGATTGGGGACCCATGTGCTGACCCCTCCCCTAAGCCCCCCAGGGTGGATTGGCCCCTGATCGGCCTGAGCCCCAGGTTGGAGGGAAGGGCCAGCTTTTCTTCCCCCAGCAGGTGGAGTCTGGCCTGCAGCCTCCCCCCCGCGGGTCCCCCTCCCTGCCGCCTGGCACCCAGGGTCCCAGCCGGTTCTCGGGGCTGTCTTGTTCCCCCAGGGAGGGCTGGATCTGCGGGCTGCGCCGTCAGGAGGGGTCAGCTTCCCGCTGCGTCGGGTGGGCCTTGGTCAGCCAGCAGCCTCCTCTGGGCCCGCAGGTCCCTCCAGGAGGCAACAAGACGCAGTACGAGGAGATCGGCATCCCCGTGGCCCTGCTCAGTTACAAGGACATGCTGGACGTCTTCAAGGTGGGGCCTTTTCCCCTGTGGTCTGCACTGGGCCCCGCCTGAGCGCAGGGTGGGCTGGCCCTGGGGGGCTCTTACCCCGCCTCCCCCGTGAGGGAGGGCCCCTGGTGCTGCCCAAAGTCAGGGCTGGAGACCACAGCCCCGGAAGGGCCGCATGTCGCCCATTAGTCCCCAGACTGCAGACTCGGCCGCCTGGCACTGCCCACACACCAAGACTGACTGTCACACTGCCCTCCTTGCCGCCCGCTCTACCCCGAGGCCCGCGTTCATCTTTGATTTGAGGAGTTGGGTCTGGAGCAGGCAAGCGTCATTACACAAGTCAAAAAGGAGCATCCAGTCTTTGTGGAAACTTCCAGAAGTTCACAGTAAAGGCTCCTGATCACAGGCTTCACACCTCTCCCGTGAGCCCCAGGCAACACACGCAGGGTCTGTGTCCCCACATACCGGGCGCTCACCCACCCTCGCGCAGAGCCCACTGCATCACAGCGGACAGCTCGTGGGCAGCAGTGGCGGGTGAAGGCCGGGGCGAGAGGCCGGGGACAGCGACCCGACCTTGAGCTCCGCCCCATTCCCTGCGGCAGAGTTTTGGCCGGGCGGTGAGGGTGGCGCTGTACGCGCCCAGCGAGCCCCTGCTGGACTACAACATGGTCATCATCTTCATCATGGCCGTTGGCACTGTTGCCCTTGGGGGCTACTGGGCCGGGAGCCGGGACGTGAAGAGGTGAGTGCCCCACGCAGCTGTGCCTGTGCCTGCAGAAGCGACAGGACCGCCTGGAAGAGGAGCGTCCCCAGGCCCGGAGCGCCTTCTGTAGCGCGGCTTCTGTGAACCCCCAGGAGGCCCGGCCAAGGGCACCGAGGGGACTGCTCTGGCACTGCAGCCGGGCCAGGCGTGCCGCGTGTGGGACACGGGGCCCATGGCATCCTGTAGCTTTCTGTCACCGCGTGGCCCCCGGGTGGCTGGGGCCGCACCTGTGGGCCCTCCCTGAAAGGGCCCTGAGCTCCTGGCCGAGGACGTGAGGTCCACGGGCCAGGTCTAGCTCTCCTATTGTCGGCGGGGGGAGGGTGGACAGGCCTACAGAGCAAACAGTATGTCATGTCCCCATGAGCCGCCCCTGCTGTTCTTACCTGTCTCCGTGGCCCTCCGTCCCCAGAGCTGTGACAGTCGACTAGGCTTCATGACCTGTCTGTGTTTCCTAAGGAGGTACATGAAGCACAAGCGGGACGATGGGCTTGAGAAGCAGGAAGACGAGGCGGTGGACGTGACGCCCGTCATGATCTGCGTCTTCGTGGTCATGTGCTGCTCCATGCTGGTGCTCCTGTACTTCTTCTACGACCACCTGGGTGCGTCCCGCCCCTGGCCTGGGCAGGGGCCTCGGGCGGGTCTGTCCCTCCCTGCGCTGGGCGCAGGGCCCTCACCCCCGCCTCCTTCGCAGTCTACGTGATCATTGGCATTTTCTGCCTGGCCTCATCCACGGGCCTCTACAGCTGCCTGTCCCCGCTGGTCCAGAGGCTGCCGTTTGGCAAATGCAGGTGAGCCCCTGTGGGCGCCCGCGACCCAGCTCTGCCCGTGAGGTCTTGCCTCACGGCCTGACCTCGGCCGATTGCCCTGTCCCCCTGGGTCCCAGCCCCCGAGGTGCAAGGAGCCCTCAGCACGTGGCATGGCCAGGCCGGCACAGTGTGGGCATGCAGCAGGGCTTTGCTCCGTGCTGGTCAGGGCGCACGGGTTCCCTCTCCCCACGTCCCATTCCAGGGCAGGCCCAGGGGGACGCGGGGGCCGAGCGGTGACGTGGGCGCGTGTGGGCACTGGGCCTCGTGGCTGGGCGCACCGCTGCTGCAGGCCCAGGGCTTTGCTGCTGGGGACCCCATCTGGTTCCGCCCGGGCAGCTGGCAGCTGCTCCAGGCTTTATACCAGGAGCCTGGCTCACGGGATGGGACCTTCTAGGGTCGCTGTCTGAGGGGGAGAGGGCAGGGCCTGGAGCGGGTCGGCCCGTGGGTGCCTGTGGGCAGGCTGGCTGGTGAGTGGCTAAGGTTTGTGCACTTTCTGTGCCTGCTCCACCCAGCTCCGCTCTGCCGTTGGGACTGTCTCTTCTGGAGACAAAGGCGAGAGGACTGGGGGTGGTTGAAGGGGAGGAGGGGTAGGGCGGGGCATCCCCTCAGCGCAGCCCACGGCGGCGGGGGGCCTGCAGGGTGCCCCGTTGGAGTCAGGACGAGGGGGCCGAGCGGCATTTGGTCAGGAGTTGTGGTGACCCCTGGGTGCTGGGCAGGGACATGGCTGTGAGGGTCAGAGGGTGTTGGGGGGTGAGGGGCGTGCGGGCCCTGATGGCTGCTCTGCCCCCCAGGATCTGGGACAACAGCCTGCCCTACTTCCATAAGCGCCCTCAGGTCCGCATGCTGCTCCTGGCGCTCTTCTGTGTGGCCGTCAGCGTGGTGTGGGGCGTCTTCCGGAATGAGGACCAGTGAGTGCTGCCCTGGGCGGCCCCTCCCTCCGGGGGTTGTCCTCAGGCGCTCTGAGTGCTGGCTGGTGACCTCCCCGCACTCACACTCCCCAGGCCGTTCGGGGGCACCGAGCGGGTTCGCACCTGGCTGTTGAAAGCCCTCCTTTCAGTCCCCGGGCAGTGATGGCCTCGTGGCATCCAGGTGTGTGCCCAGCTCAGCTGACGCCGCATTCGGTTTCACTCAGCTTGCCGGGTGCCACGTGAGCTGTGACTAGAATCTGGTTAGGAGATGCCACACGCCCCCCTGGCCCGGATGCCCCGGGCCGGGTCCCCCAGGATCCTGTGTCCTCCAGGACTGCCCAGATGGGGCAGGGGGCCGCTCCCTGGTCCCGGCGCCCCTCGTCCTGTTCCCGCGGTGGTGCAGGGAGGTGGCCGCCTCCCATCAGCCTCCCCGTAGGACAGTGGGCCCATGGCGTGGCCTGGAGCCTGGCCTGGGCCAGGCCCCCTTCTGCTGCTGCTGACACCGTCTGGCGCTGTCTCTCAGACTCCCGAGGCGGCTAAATGCTCTTGGCGGCGCCTCCTTTTGGAGCCACAACAGATTTAACTGGCAGAAGGAAAACGGGAAAATATTTTGAGTTCTTTGCACATAATGAATACATGAGCTCTCACAGTTCAATCCAAGCTGGGAGACGCTCCGTCGCATAAACGAACAGGCCACGCGGGCCCACCTCTGGGCGCCTGCGGCTCCTCCCCAGCCGGTGAGGTTCTCATCCTCTGTCCGGTGATGCACCTCATAGGTCACGGGGACAGACAGCCCTGGCTGGGGCGCAGGGCAGGCAGGAAGGGGAGCCCAGAGCCTGGGCAGGAGCAGGTGGTACTGCACAGAGCCAGCACCCCTGTCCCCCCGGCCCCTGCCGTCAGGCCAGGTACTTCTCAGAGCTCCGACGTGGGCCTTCACCACACAGGTTTAAGGTGCAGATGTCAGACATTCACAGCGGTGTCGCCTCCGCTTCCCCCGTCGTTCTCCTGCCCCGATGGGGAACCTGGAGCCCGGCCGGGCGCGAGTGTCTGAGTGATTTAGAGATGTCACTGGGAAAGGATGTGAACCCAGCAGATGCACAGCCCTCCGTCCTGTGATCTGGGTGTAGGAGCCACGGTTGTGGGGGACGGAGGCCCGTCATGGTCCGCCTGTCTCCAGGGGTGCGTGCAGTGCAGGGGTCAGTCACCCCCGCCCTGCCGGCCGTCACTGCCCACCCGTTCTAATGTGGCGGGTCCGTCAGAACCCACACCGCTGCCTCTGGTGGCAGAGGAGTCTTCGTGACACAGCGGGGTCAGGCCGGGGGCAGGGTGTTCCAGAGCGCTTGGTGGCCAAGGTGGCCGAGAGGGACGGTACCCGGTGGGTGGCGGCCCTCAGAGCAGCCCCCGTCCCAGGGACTGATGCCGCGCTGCCCTCCAGGTGGGCCTGGATCCTCCAGGATGCGCTGGGCATCGCCTTCTGTCTCTACATGCTCAAGACCATCCGCCTCCCCACTTTCAAGGTGAGGGCCCTGGGGGGCGGGGCCTGGGCGTCCCCAGGCCTGGTGCCACCTGGCCCTGCCCTGGCCTTTCCCTCTGAGGCTGGGCCCAAGGTCCCTGTCCAGCTGACCCCACGGAAGTCACTTAGGAATACACAGGAGATGTGAAAGTGCCCCCCAGCCGTTCCCCTCAGCCACCTCCTGTGCTGGGGGAACTGGAGCGTGGCTTGTGCTCAGACCCTCTACCGGATGTTGCTTCTGGAACAGTCTCCGTGTCTCCTGTTGCCGAGGGCAGGGTCTTCAGAAAGGCTTCTCCCGGCGGGGCGGTCCGAGCCTCCTGGGGGGCGGCGGGGTGCGCGGGTGGGGTGCCAGCCGCCCCTCAGGAGTCTCTCCGCAGGCCTGCACGCTGCTGCTGCTCGTGCTGTTCATCTACGACGTCTTCTTCGTGTTCGTCACGCCCTTCCTGACCAAGGTGGCCCCGCCCCACACCCTCCTGCACCCCGCACCCCCCCCCGCACCCTCCCTGCACCCCGCGCTCCCCACGCCCTCTCCCTGTGCCCCGCTCTGACGCTGCCCCCTGTGTTAGAGCGGGAACAGCATCATGGTAGAGGTGGCAACAGGGCCCACGGACTCGGCCACGCGCGAGAAGGTACGTCGCAGCCGGGAGGCGGAGGGGCTGGGGGCGGGGCGGATGTGCAGCTGCCGCCTTCTCTCCCCGCAGCTGCCCATGGTCCTGAAGGTGCCCAGGCTGAATGCGTCCCCACTGGCCCTGTGCGACCGGCCCTTCTCTCTCCTGGGCTTCGGGGACATCCTGGTCCCAGGTATGGGGGCTGGGCATGCCATTGGGTGCGCCGATGGCCCTGAGGGCGCCTAGGTGTCCTTGCAGTGTTGGGCAGGGGCCAGTGGGTGGAAGTGGAGCCAAGTGGGTGAGGACAGGACCGCCCTGGCACGGCAGGTGGCGGGGGGGCTGGTTTGTGATTGAGGTCGCCCCAGGGGCAACTCTGCCTGTGTCAGCCACGGCTGCACACAGTGTCCCCAGAGTCCACCTGGGCAGGACCTCACTCCGTGCTGTGGCTCTGCACTGGCCTGGTCACAGCTCCATCCTGACCTGGCGGCACGGCCGTTTGTCAAGTGGCAGTGACAGCCGCTGGGCGGGGTGGTGCACAGCGTAGCCTCTCCCCACGGTCGCCGGTCCCCCAGCCAGGGCTGCAGCCGGTCCCTGGCTCACGTCCTCTCCCCCCAGGGCTGCTGGTGGCATACTGCCACAGGTTCGATGTCCAGGTGCAGTCATCGCGGGTTTACTTCGTGGCCTGCACCATCGGTAAGCGCCGCCTCGGGGAGGGCGGGGTGCTTTACCCTTTCTTCTTCCCTTCTGTCTTTCTCTTTCTTGTTTTCTACTGGTTTCTTTTGTTACCAAAGTCATTGACACAGAGGTGACATTTGTGTCGAGCCCTGATTGTTTTTTAAAAGTCCCCAGCCAGTTCAGCCTTGTCCCCAGCTCCTCGGCTTTTAAGAGGAGGAGCCGGCGCACACAGCCCCTCCGCGAGGGAGCCAGGCTGTTGGGACGCATTCCCCGGCCGCTGCCCCCGGAGATGGGGCAGAGTGCACAGGCGGGGCAGCCCCAGCACCCGTGGCACAGGGCACAGGCTGGCCTTCTGGCGTATTTTCCAGTCATTACCGCCTGCCCCCTCCCACCTGGTCCCCGTGGCTGTGGCGCTCTGCACCTGAGCCTTCCCTTGGGCTTATGGCCTCAAGATCGTCTCGCAGAGACCCAGCTGCAGAAGTCACCCGTGAGCCAGTGTCAGGTGCTCCTGTAGGTCCTGTGGGTGGGTCCCTCTGGACCCTCTCCAATGGCTGCATGCAGCCCTTCCACCGCCTGTCCGAATCACACGAGTGTCGCCAGGAGCCCTCCCTGGTGAGCATGCCACCGGGAGCGTGTGGCGAGGAGCAAACAGGACAGCCGAGCGCAGGCCGGGGACCCCACTCTGACCCCTCGAGGAAGCTTGCGGTTAAAGGCTCGTTTTCCTGTAACTTTTTACTTTGAAACAATTGCAGGGATACTGTTGGCAGGTGAGTCCAGGGACAGCTGCGTCCCTGCTCTCAGGCGCCGCTGTGCTCCCTGCCCGTCCGTGCGTGCGTACGTCCGTATGCGCGCGGTTCCCGGCTCGCTCACTGTGAGCAGACTGCAGGCGGCACATCCTGTCACCTTCGATGTTTTGCCAGGTGTCTCGTGGGAACACAACATTCCTTTCTAGGGTCGCCATTCCGTTACCAAAGATTTGATTAACTTATTCTATGCTCACGGCACACTAACTCAAAATAATTTTTCTAACTAAAGGTTTATAAAAACAAGATATCGGGGTACATTCGTGGGCTTTTCTTCTGCTGCTTCTGTGGTTTCAGACCCTTCCCGCAGCTCTTGGCTGCTGATCAGAAGGCCCTGTGTTCTCCTGTCCCGTCCTGTCCCCGGCCTCTCTGCTGCACGGTCACTCACTCCTGTTTTCTCATCTGACTCCCCTTTTACCTGTATCCCGGAGCTCAGTGGGAGCATGTGTTCCGGAAGATGCCAGAAGGTTTTGTTCACTTCCAAAGTGCCCTAGCTGTTGCCTTCTACCACGTCTGTAGTGCTCCCACTCCATGTGAGAGGCAGCAGGGCAGGGGTGGCCTCAGGGACCAGCCAGGTGACACCCGCCCCGCTCTGTCCCTGCAGCCTACGGCATCGGCCTGCTGGTGACGTTCATGGCCCTGGCCCTCATGCAGCGTGGCCAGCCGGCCCTCCTCTACCTGGTGCCCTGCACGCTCATCACTAGCGGCGGCCTGGCCCTGTGGCGCCGGGAGCTGGGCATGTTCTGGACGGGCAGCGGCTTTGCGGTGAATACCGGTTTGCTATGACGCCTGCGAGAAGTAATAACCCACGAGCCCTACCCGGGTTGAAGTTGGGCGAAGCGGCCAAGCCCACAGCCCCTGCCCCGTGGCCTGTGCCTCCCCGTTTCTGGAAGGCTTTATTCTGGGGGGTCACATCCGCATGGCTGTGGGGACCCGAGCCGTCCCAGTGGAGAAAACAGCTTGTGGCTGCTGTGCCAGCTGTGACTTGAGGACGTACCTGTCCTGCAACATTTCATTGGGTGTTGGCTGCCGGCTGCCCCCACATTGAGAACACAGCGCCAGGCCAGGCTGGGGGACCCCTGGAACCCCTCTGCCAGGGCGAGAGCTGTGACAGCTCAGGCGGTGGGCTCTGTAGGGGACCTGGCACCTCCAGGTCCAGCCATGAACTTGTAAAAGCAGGGAGAATGCAGGCCACCCTGGTCCTCACCTACACAGCTTCAGCTTGGCACTCTGTCCCCCAGGGGGGGCGTCTGGGGCTGGGACATGCCGCACAGCGATGCCATGACATGAGTGTTACTGTCCCGCCTTGGAGAAGTCAGAGTACTCGTCCTGTCTACCTTGGCATCCAGTCTAACCAATCAGTCACCTACACTCGGGCCAGTGGCCCTCAGCAACCCCCAGCCAAACCCTCTCCCAGGCCCTCGGGCAGGAAGGCCTTTGCCACAGAGCCGGTGGGCTGTCCTAGGAGGTTTAGGAGCAGGACAACCAGCGCTTTCGGAGTCAGGTTGCTGCCTCGGGTCCCTTCCTGTGGCCCACATGCTGGCCGCTGGGACTGGATCTGCTTGTCCTGGGCCTGGGGCCTGACCCTTGGGACGGTGACATCTCTGCCCTCCCATCCCTCAGGGCCCCACCGGCCTTGCCCGCGCCTCACTGCTGGCCTCTCTCCTCTTGCAGAAGGACCCACCTCAGCCTTCCTGGGCGCTGGCTTCGGCTGAGGGCCCCCAGCCTCTGAGAGACCCTGAGGCCACGCAGTCCCAGCAGCCGCAGCCGTCAGAGCTGGCTGAACCTGAGGATGTGGCTGACGTGTCACCCCAGGACCCCACGAGCCCTGCCCGCTACACCCCCGACCCCGCAGGCCTGCCAGGTGCCTCGGCCTAGCAGCAGTGTGGCCGTGTCCCCGAGACCGGACCCGCTGGCCCTTCAACTTGGTGCTCTGGTCTGGCCGATGCTCACATCCTCTCTGCCCCCTTGAACCCGACTGCACCTGGACCCTGGCCCCACTGCCCACTCCCGTGCCTGCCATGCCCCTGGACACCGAGGTCCTTGCCCACAGTCTGCCTAGTTGGAGCCTCTTGGAACCTCAGAAGGGGCAGGAAACGTCACCTGCATCCGCCGATGGCCGCAGATTTGCCACGTTTGGTGCTTACACCTCACTGCTGCTTCCTTCAGGTTTCCCTTGTCCTGGGCAGGAGGGGGACACATCTGTCCCGGTTTTCTTTCCCAGTTCTGGCACAGAGCTTCTAAAACCTTTGGAATTTCCTAAGTGGTAACGGCAATAAAAGTGAAAAGAGGGTCTGTCTTTTGTTATTCAGCCCTTGGCCCGGCTGCCGTGGGGTCCAGACCGGCCTCTGCGTGGTGGGGGGCCGCGAGGAGGGCCACCAGCCGTGCCGGGGGTGAGTTGATGGTGCGCCTGGCTACGCACTGCCTGGTTCCTCCATCAGCCCCGGGCGCGTCTGGAGCCTGTGCCCACCCGGTCCCTGCGTGTCTTAATAAACGGCCACGACTTTCTGAAACCCCGGTGGTGTCTCCTCTCCAGCTGCCCCTCCTGGGGGTGGGGTGGGTGCGGGGCCGGGCGGCCCCCGGAGCCTTCGCGGGCTGGCTCTGGTCTCTGCATTGCTCCCCTGTTCACAGCACAGAGGGACTGGGCCCTTTCCATGTCACGGGCATCTGCACGTCCTCACCCCTCGCCAGCTACACAGCTTGCCTGCCTCCAGCTGCAGCATGGGCGAGGAGCTTCTGGAACATGGGAGAATATTCTGGAACTGGCTTTTGAGTTCTACCTCATTGACAGGGCTGTCTGAATCTCAGGACAGATGGCACGACAGAGCTGGCCCAGCGGCCCCACGCCCGGGCACCCTCCTTCCCTGTCACCGCTGACCTGCGAAGCCAGGGGCATCTGGGGGGGGACCCGCCCCTCCCCCGCTCGTCCACGCAGCCCCCCGGCTCCCGTCTGCAGGCGTTTCCACTGGCCTGTTGTGAGGGTGCAGACCCTCTAGCCACGCTGTGGACGGGATGCAGGGCTGGGCCCGGCCAGGCACGCCCTGAAAACACCAGCGCCACGCAGACCACGTGCTGCCGTGTTGGCCACGCTTCTCCCAACACAAATGGCGTCTTCCGCCTGTTTGCGTGTTACTCTCCGGAGGGAGAGTGTCCTGGACCCGATGCAGCCTCGGTGGCCTGGCTGGACGCCGCCCACCCCTCGGCCCTGCGCCCCAGGCCGTTGTGCACGTCAGTCTCCGAGTGGAATCTTTTCTGTTTGGAAATCTGACAAATGTCGTGGAATCAGAAGGCGGATGGATGTTAGTTCCTAAAGTTTTTGTTTCGCAGTGTCCGCCTCGCTTCTGTTCGAATCTTATAATTAAACACAGCTTTTTCTATGGAGGGCTCGGCCTCTGCCTTCCCGCCGTGGGGTGAGCGGAGGGAGCCGGCGCCCGGCAGGGCTCGTCCTGCTCCGACACCCGCCTGGCGGTTGGGGGCGGGTCCGCGGGCGGTGCCGCTGGTGCCACATGTGCGTGGTGTCCTAATCAGTGGCACTTTGGAGTTGAAGGAAGCTTAGCAGTAACTCAGCCTGTTCCCGTGTTTTGGATGCCGTTGGCTCGTCCGTGGTCATCGAAGTCTGCATGGGAATCATCACCTGGGCAGGGGCCGCAGACCTGCCGTAACGGCCCGGCGGTCAGTGGGGCTTTGTGGGTCACGCAGGCTGGAAGCATCACAAGTGCGAGCACGTGAGTTGACTGCAGCCAGAGCTGTTGGTGACATCTAAACGTGAGTTGTTCCGTGTAGTTTTCACATCATGAAATACTCTGATGTTTTCCAAATATTTAAAAACAAACTTTGTCTTGTTTTTAAGCTGTGCAAGGGCAGGCGGGGGCCGGATTTGGTGCCTGGGCGGGTGCCCCCATGCCGACGCCGGTGCCTGTGCAGGAGCACACACCCCGGAGACCGCTTGCACCACCTCGTCGCCGGCCCCTCCTCTAGACACATAGGAGGCAAGTCTCCAAGGCCAGTCGGCCTGCAGGGGCCACCCGAGGCCCGAGCAGAGATGTGTGGTCACCGTCCCCTCTTCTCGGGCAAAAGGACCCCAACGCCTGGGGGATGGGCGAGGTTCAGGGCAAAATCTGCCCTAAACGGGCAGGGGAGGGTGGCTTAGTCACTGCAAGGTCATTCCAGAATATTTAAAATCGCCGGTGCTTATAAATTTTAACTATCAGTGATTCACTGACAAGATCTTCTAAAAGGAGTGCCTCGTCACGGTGGTGGCACAGCCCAGGCGACCCTGAGCTCAGTGCCTGGGTGGCCGAGTGGTGGTGTCGGCTGGGCTGTCCCTCAGTCCTATGCAAGGACTCACGGTGGGCACCTCGAGGGGACAGCTGTGCCTCGAGTGCATTTCTGCTCCCTCGGGGCGCACAGCTCAGCGTCTTGCACGTAAGCTGCAGACTGAAGCAATGCTGTGAGGATGATGGCTCCTTTCACGAAGCAGGCCAGAGCCCGCGCGTTTTCATTCATTCATTCACTCGTCCACTCATCCGTTCTAGCAGTTTTCATTAAGTGCCTGTTGTGTGCCAGGCTCCCGCCCGGGCCCAGGGATGTGTATGTGAGTTTCAGACCCCGCTCTGGCCCGGGGGCCTCAGCCTGGTGAGGACCGGAGAGGCCCCCGGCTCTCATTGGGGGGGCAGGTATCAGGGAAGGCTGCCTGGAGGAGGTGATTGTTGGCTGAGCCCAAAGGATGCAGGAAGGATAGCTCCAGGCCACGGTGGGGAGGTGAGCGTGGCTGGTGCCAGCATTCAAGGACAGGGGCGGGGCGGGAGACTCAGCCACGTGGGGAAGGCAGCTGCACATCACCAGACGGTCAGGGGCTTGTAGCTCCAGAAAGAGTCCAGTGGCATCGTCCCTAGTGTAGAGAGAAGGGTGGCCCCAGGGGTCACAGGCTCCACCCCCCACCTCTGCGCAGCTGTCCTGGCTCAAAGTAGGTGGTGGCAGTGGGACCTTGGGCATGTCGCTGCCCTCTGGGGCTGCAGCTGCCTCTTCTGCCCGAAGGGGTGACAGCTACTTCTGCAGTGTTATCGTGAACACCAGAAAGGACCCGCTTGAGTCCCCGCACGTGCTCAGTAAACGGGACCATGTGTGGGCAGCTGGGACCTGCCAGGGGACAAAGATGGTGGTTCTAACAGAGGCCCGGTCTCTCAGAGGGTGGACGCAGCGGAAGGGGAGGCTGGGCTGCCGCGTGGCGGTGCCAGTTCCCCGAGAGACCAGCCATGGCCCCAGCAGACGTGAGACACAGCAGATGAACCCCAGGGGAGAGGTGTCTGCCAAGCTGCTCACAGGGGCCGGCGTCCAGACCAGGAACGTCCAAGAGACTGCCACAACCAGGAGAGCTCCAAGGACATGCTGACTGGCACGGGGGCCTGGGACAGAGGACAGAGGGAATATGCATGTGCGTTAGTTAATAATGTGTCCATGTGAGTTCCTTAACTGTGACACTACCTGGCAGTAATGGCGACCTGGGTGCGGGCACAAGGGCACGTCACAGCTTCTCTGAAAACCTAAAACTGTTCTAAAGTCAAAAGTTAATTTCAAAAAAAAAAAAAAAATAGATATCGTAGTTACTCAGGACACCCCGCCTCGTAAGTTTTCTTCCTCCCTGACATCCGCTCCCTGCGTCCCCGCACCCCTCCCCCGCTCTCATCCGGGTCACCTGCCCAGGCCCTGCCCTCCACCTGATGTCGGCCCCAGGGGCCAGGGACAGACCCCCCACCCCGCTGTACTGAGAGTGCAGGGGAAGGGGCGCACTCGGGGCGGGCAGGGGGGCGAGGGGTGCGGGTGACGCCC